ATATATATGTATCATTATATTGTTGACGTGTTATTCTAACACGTATTTGCGATAAATATCATCACATGCCTCGGTAGTCGAAAGGATAAGATGCCTGCCCGGTAAGCAGGAGATCCAGGTTCGATTCCTGGTTGAGGTGGTATTTTTTCGCAAAATAATTACGAGTTTTCACGACTGATTCGTGGTCGGGCCCTGTCGTGACGCACACCTTCCCTTCTTATTTGCGTGTACGTACAAACACACATACATGCGTATCGCATACGTACAGACACGCACTATGCATACACTCATATATGTATACGTGCGTGTGTCTGTATGTCGTACGTGCGCGTATGTATAGATCGTACAGGTCATGCGTATATACAGGAGTCAAATATTGGATAAGCTTAGCTATACAGGATACAATAATATTATTCGTCTTTATACGTATATTTTACGTTTCTAGTGTTATCCCGGGATAGATGTGCGTGATTTCTTTATTAGGAGTAAAGTTCTAAAGACATTACATTGTATTTATATCTTTTCTTTATACAGTAAAATTTTTATATCTTTTTTATAATGAAGTAAATTTATAATGAACGTTAGCATGCGAAGTAATAATAGCAATAGCAAAAGTGTGATGTTGTAACTTGTTCTTTTTGAGATTGTATTTTTATACAAGATATGTATAAAACTGCCAAAAGATATTCGCAGCATGTTCGTCACATCTGTGTACCTGTGCAAGTGTAGCGTACAATGAAGAATATCGCGAGTATGTGCATATATGCAAATAATATGATATGTATGTGTATATATATATATATATATATATATATATTTTCCAAGAGCCATTGAAATGAATAATAATAAATAATTGATTATACAAGTCTTTCTGCCGATTTATTTGCACCGATATATACATATACACACATTTCTACATACACACACATTTCTTGTATATTTATTACAAACTCTGAGATCCATATGGGATAAATCTTAACGCTTAAGATAGATTTCTCTTCAAGATTTCAACGATACCAAATAGCATGATAAAAGCGAGATATTTTTGAATAAAGTTTTACATCCCTGATCAAGTGGATTAGTGTAAAATGTGTTACAATCGCCTTTGTGCATAAGAACATCTGTAAAAATCTTGAATGTATTATTAAATAGCTTCTTTACGTATATTTATGATAACGGACTCTACTACACAACAACAACAACAATAATAATAATAATAAAAATAAAAAAGATGAACCCTTATTCATTTGGAATCGTTTGGTTAAATTATCTCATTCCAATACTTCGTGTTTGTTTTTGGATAAAGTCGAATGCGATACATGTGCAGTTGTGCAATTATGTTACAAAGATTATGCTCGATTAATTTTCAATAAGAAACGAAAATTTGGCGTGTTGTATTTTAAAATTTCGAAAGAAACGTTATATGGCTGTAATGTGAAGAATGTGTCGTATGTATACAAACGTAAGTGAACACTTTGGAGTGAATATATAATTGGCTCCATTTCATACCCTGCACTATTTAGAGTGTGCATGTGTGCATGCATGCTCGCACACGTACGCGCACGCACACATACATTTTCACAATAAATGTATTTTCGTGTATTCATACGATTTGATTTCTCTCTTTGATTTCCAACTTAAGCTCATTAGATCAGAAATTCGTATATGAAGTAAGATTATAAGGCCTGAATTTCTCTCATCTTCATTCGTTGCAACTTCGTTCATCTTTTCTTTTCTGTAACGTAGAGAGATAAAGAAGAAAGATGAACCATGCAAGAGGTTGAATTAAAAAGAACAAGCCTAATGAGAGAGGTGACGGATATCTTTCCATCCCAGTTGATTTCAACATTCTGACATTCTTGTATTAAGTATCCTTTCCTCTCATTCTTTGACATTGCGATTAGTATAGATGCATCTATCTATTAATATATAATGTTATCAACGTCACATCTTGCAAGCTTACTTTTTTTCAACTGACAATGAGCTTAATATGAGATTAGATTTTGAGATATGTCTTCGTGTTTCGGTATTAATTTAAAATGTATAACGATGTATAACGTATAACACAGGTAATTAGTGCTTGATATATCATTGCTTTACTTCTTCTTTTTGATCAATTCAATAAGTCAACAGCATATACAAAAACGAGAACGCACGTTATGTCATGTATCATCATATTTGTGACAATCCGAGTTTATTCACGTGTAAAAGAGAGCACAGAGAGTAACTATATTTGATACATCTCGTAAATATTAGCGTTTGCAGAAAACTTTATAGACTTTGAATCAAAATTCGATGTAAAGAGAGAAGAGATTGTGCAAAAGAAAACAAGGACTTAATCTAGTCATTGATGAAACGATGAGACAATCCGTACGTCAAGTAATACTGATGATGTAACATGCTCTCTTTTTCCTTCGTATAAATTAGACAATTATTCGTAATTATTTAAATATGGGCAATGCGTATCTTCGTGACCCACACACTCTATCACTGGATCGTGCGCACTGTCCCACATTCCCGGACCACATTGTCGGCACAGTCCGGCCAACGTGCAAGGTAAACGCACAAGCTGACGAAAATGATGAAGCAGACCTCGTGCCTTTCGAAGTATAACGTTCCCGTCCATGTACATGGCCAGTGAACTGAAATGCAGTAACATTTCGTCCGTTCGAAGATCCTGAGCAATCACATCGTCCGCGTAAACGCACATTATAGCGAGGCAAAGAAACAAGTGAAAATGATCCGTCAGGTAATTGACCCAGCAGGCTTCCCACATTACCAATGCAATCTCGGTTGAGAATTCTCTTTTCAAACATCTGTAACGAGAAAAAAAGAGGGTAAGTGGATAAAACGCGAAATTATATACGAGAGCAATGCCGCGAATAAAATTTTTGCCATTACACACGAGATACATATATACGCATGAAACATAATTGGTACGTACAAGAGTATCCATCGATGACAAAACAGAAGCTCTAAAGCATCCGTGTGTTTTTCAAGATGCGCATAAAAATCTGGAACCATGATTCTTACTAATTCTCGGAGATAGCATAGATTTCTGTCCATATCCGTATCGGTCGGAGTACATACAGCTACCGATCTTTGCATCAAACCCGCGAAACACCAAAAAGCTTCGATTTCGGAGTTGAGTTCTGCCAATAAAGGTGCCAGGAGATCGGACATCCCTTGAGTGTAACCCAAGCGGCAGTTGTATACCGCGTAATTGAGTAAAATATTCCTGCGAGAGATACGGAAGAAAAAGAAAAAAAGTGACAATGTGCACACAGGTAACACACGCATAGATATGACGCGATAGTATAAATTCGGCAATTGAGAAGATCAGGGACGAAACCTTCATCAAAGATTCATTTCGACACTTACTTCATTACTTCGATGTTGGGATTACCCTCACCGGCATAATATGGATTAGCTCTATCCGTGCGGACAACATCTTTCTCCACTATGCACACGACGTTACGCCAGAAACGCTCGGCCTGTTCAGGATTCATGTTCAGTCTGCGTTTCTCTATCTCTTCGTATTCCTGCCGTCTAATGGCATCGATCTGTTCTCTGTCCTCGTAGGTGCTTTGATAAGAGTAACAGTGTAACAGAAAGGGCCAAACGATCTTTCGTAGCGCCGGTTCCAAACCCCCGAAAAAGATCCCTTTACGAAGAGCAAGATCATCCTCCACTTGGCCTCGTTCATTCAATAAATCCTTCCAGGCTAACGATGTGATCATCGGCACTTGACCTTCCTCGGGATGTAATTCGTCTCGGCTCACTTCCGGCCGGCATACCATGAAGTGCCTGTGCGACGTGTGACGTAAATATCGTAAATATCATTATTCGGCAGAGAATAATGAAATTTGCAATTTTATATTCTAATTATCTGACCTATACGGCAAAGTCTCTTCCGTGTCCGCGTTCAAGCGCGGATAAAGCAATTGATGCCATTGGTGTAGAGTGGCGGCTAGCCGGTCCAAACCGCCATGATGGAAATGCAAAATCTTATACTGGCTCTCTCTGCTCGCCACGACCAATTGGCCGCTGGTGCAAGCAGGATCGGCGAAGAACAGTCTCAAGGATCGCATTTCGCTGAGGTCCACCGAAAATCTTCTACATCGATGCGCTCTACGCAGTGTCACGGGCGAAGCGGTTGCGCTCTCAGGAAAGACAAGATTGTGTTGCAAAGCTAGAAGTTCCGGGGACCTCATCCACGACGGCATCTCCTCGGCTATACAAACAACAAGGTCTTCAACCTAATATCGCTAATAGCAACCGCGGTCGGGAACTGCCCGCGGTTACGTCCAACTATGTTTTTTTTTCTTTTTTTTTACGTACCATCGGTAGGTACCGAGATTGACAGGCTGCACGTCGAAGTTAACGACAAGCTGCGACTCTTGATGCTCGCATCATCGCGGAAGGAGAAGCGTGCCGGTTCCTCGTCAACGCTTCTCGCGTCGATCTCGTTAAAGTCTCGCTCTTTCAAATCTCTGTTCTCGTTGCTCGACTCTACCAAATCCGTATCCAGGCGATTTTCAATATCGCAAGTCTTGATATTGTCGTCGTTGCGATTCACCATGCCTGGATTTCGATGACGTGGATACTCGTAGCTGTAGCTGGAACCAGAACCGGAACCGGAACAGACGCGTTCGCAATCTCCGCAATTGACGGGTTCCTTCGCCTCCAAACATCCGTCCAATTTCCCATTTCCATTATCATTTTCGGTATCGTTTTCATTCTCGTTCTCGTTTTCGAGCTCGTATCTCACGTCCGAAATGTTACGCGAATCACCATGAACTTTTTCAGGGATTCGGGAATGGGAGAACATCGGATCATCGTCTCGATGCACGGCAACGTTCCTAGCACTCAGATTCTCCAAGGCGGTAGGATGTTTGCGCAACGTGCTATTCGGTATCCAACTTAGGTGCAGGGTCGGCAAGTTTGAATTCTTGTTTAACTTGCAAGTTATAGTCAAATACCCGGGATGATGTACCACGTCGGCATATTGTCTCATTAACGTCGGAGGATGCACGCAAACGTTATTTTTGCAAAATAACGCTTCGCCATCCTGATAGATGACACGTCGATTGTCCTGACCGCATTCGCCGAGGATGTAGTTGCTCGCTTTCCTCAAAATATTCGGCAGAGGCATCGTCGTGTTATCGTAATTAGACAGGTAGTCGACCGTTATGTCATCAGTTTTCGCTGTAAAAAAAAGCACTGGTATTCGACAGAAGAAAACGAGTATTCGGAACGATTAGATTGATTTTTTTTCTCTTTCTTAGAGAACAAATTTAAAAATCTACCTCAAAAAGAGCTCCGAGTGTTCGTAAAAGTTCAATTTAAACTTATATTCGCGACTTATTCGCCGCAACCCTTTTGCCTCTGAAAATTCCAAATACGATTCGGGCTGGGGCTATCTTTGTTTACCAAGTGTTGAAATTGCGATCGACGTTGTGAACAAAGCCAACCGACGGAGAAAAACCCAGGACGGAGAGTGAGCATAGTCGGATGAGCAAAAAACAACAGATTTAGGATGTAATCGTGCTTCGAAGTCCCATGAAGAATCGAACTAGTCCTTTCGCATGATCACAGGATACGCACACGCTTGCGCACGCTATGGCGTTATCGTTTCAATTAGCCTCGTTACATATGGAGCATCGATAATGCGTATCCGTGTCGCGATAGTGTGCACATCCCGTCGTCGGGTTCCGGATTCCACGATAATGCAGCCGCGAAGTCTAGACCAAAATCGCGAGACTTTATCGCCATTCTTTACCGAGAGGAGTCCTCGAGAGCTTCCAATATCTCGATCGGGTTAGCGGCTTTGAAACAGAGTTTTCTCAGAATGCATGCGAGATCGCGGATGCAAATTGAGAACGAGATTATCGGCACGACAATCAACGTTCTCGTCTCTAAACCGTTAATGTTTAAGCGTCACTGCTCGACGCTTGGTATCTAGTGTCTAGTGCGCGGGCGTCGTTGTCGTCGCTACCGCGCAAGTACATCGATTTCGGTGAAATTTGTTAAAATTTATAGAGACGCGACTGCGCGACGCAGTACTCTCGTTTCTTTTTTTTTTCCTTTTCATTTCAATTCGTTTCTTTAATGCAAATTCACGATCAGAGTGATCGTAGCTCATCAACGATACAAAGGAGATGACCGCACAGGTATTCTTATCCGAGATCAATATTTCTGATCGCGGAACTTATCGCCTATCCTACTACCCAACCCGCTGACATTTCGCTATATCTATGATACTTCGTAGACTTCGTTTTCATCGATTATCCATCGTCTTTTCGCGCTATTTGATCACAAGGTACAAAATTATACAACACATATACCGCGCGTTTCGCGGTATAATTCCCTTACCTTTGATCGATCGTTCCCATTCGCGTAATCTTCTTGGCTCCTTTTCTCTCCGTTTCTTTATTCGAAGCTAATCTAGCGAATCGTCAATTGTGGAATTGTCAATGAATTTTAATCGTCTTGGATTAATTAAAAAAATTTGCAGTTATGTGAGTTTCATTGCACTTGAAGCGTAATTTGTCAACACATGCGTGACACACATACACACACGCGCGCGCGCGCGCGCGCGTACATACATATATACATATGTATGTACACACATACATATACATGTACATACATAACTGTTTCATATATATATATATATATATAT